CCCCCTCTTTTTGGGTTACTCGCTCTTTTCCCATTCCTTTGGAAACAATAAAGCGCGATGGTGATTTTTATTTTGATTTGTATAAGTCTAGTCAATTCAATGGCTAAGTCTTAAACATTTCTATTGCTACAACCATCCCCTGGACCGGTTGAGCGGGACCTTTGAATCTTCTCCCCATGTTAAGGATGAAAACCGACTTTCTAGTCTTCTTCTTCTTCTTCTTGGTGAGAAGCTCCATTATATCCTGTTGCCCCTTGGCTAGGTTTAGGAGAGTCTCTTGAAATTCTGCATGTTGAGCTTGGAGTTCCTTAACAGTCTGTTCGAGGGCCATCTTTTACTTAAATAAACAGTAAGTAGATGAGAAAACCTGTATGGAAAACATGTTATATAATGATGCATGTGTGGTACGGTGGCAGAACCGACTGTTTAATACTGGTTTTTTCGTTTTGTATTCGTAAATGTTGCGGTAAGCAAGAGTCGTCACCGACTTTTCTTTTATCCAAATTAAGGAAAGGGTGAAAAGAACAGAAAAAGATCTTTTCGAGATTATTCTGAGTAAGGGGGTAGATTATGGAAAGGGAAGGTGTTAGCACCCTTTCCATCCATAGTTATCTACGGGCTCTTAGAGGTTTTCTCATTTTTAAATACCTTTGTGCTTTGCGCGCTTGAAATTTTTTTGAGAATGCCTTATTACGGAGAACCTTGTAATGTTTCTAGGGATAATGGAGAAAGTATACAAAGTATTTTGGAAAATATTTTTTTTAATGTAGTATTTGTGTAAGTGCAAAATATTTTGAGCAAACTTATAACAGCTATCTACTTTGTACTCGAAAAGGTATTTCTTTTCCTCCTAACCTTTAGACATTGCTATCCTACTATTAATGAGTAGGTAGCTCAATCGTTGGATGTTTGAGGGACAATTGAAGGGATGTTATAGTCACGAAGGCAACTTGTGGAGACGCTTTAGCAATTTTGTTTAGGGACTAGATCATTTACCGAGAGGTAACTGTACGGTCATAAAGGGATTATGATATTTTGTATTTACGGGTCTTTGCTAAAGCGTCCCCGTTTCGAGGGACATGACTGCTTTATTTCTGAAGGCAACCAAAGTGGGCGTACCTTAGAGGTGCATATGTGCAATTGTGTTTAGTTCAAGTATTTATCTAATGTTTAGTTTGCTAATCGTTTAATTATTAAGCTCTTGTCATGCAATCCTAGTTACTAGCAGTTAATATATATATATATATATATATATATATATATATATATATATATATATATATATATATATATATATATATATATATATATATATATATATATATATATATATATATATATATATATATATATATATATATATATATATATATATATATATACAGGAATTTAAAGTGCAGAAATTAAATCTACGTTATTACATGGATTTGTGCGAGGTACATTAGAGAAATGTGGAAAGTGAAGTCCTAGTTACTATTACAGACCATAAGAAAGTACATTAATAATAAAAATACGAAATTAAATAAATGCGCGTGAAATTGAAAATAACATCTAAAAACATCCTAAGAAATAAAAATCTTTTTGTTTGTTATTTTTTATTTATAAAAGAAAATAAAACTTAAGTCTATTTAATTTTAAACTAAGGAATAAGTTAAAATAATTAATTAGTTAATTAACAAAATTTAATTTAATTAATAAAATACTATTCTAATGTTTTTTTTCTTGTGATTTTGATTTAATGGTTAGTTTAACAAGAGAAATAATGAAAACAAAAATAAAGATACAAAGAGGGCATCCTTCGATCCAGAGAGAAAAGGGGATTTTCGATTAAAAGGGGAAGCAGCCTTTCGATCCAGGGATAGATGGGATTTTCGACTCTGGAGGGATGTTGCCTTTCGATTCTGTGAAGGGTGTTACTCTTCGATCCAGTGAAAGGATGTGGCTTTCGATCCAGAGGGTGTTGCTGGAAGGGCCTGATGGATCAACTGTGAGGGTGCTGCATCTGCAAAGATATGGTAGCAAAACGAAAAGTATGACTTGGGTGCCAAGCCCAGGTCTTTCAATTCTATGCGCACTGGCCTTATTTATGCTGGATTTGCAACAAGTGTTATAAGCAAAAGGAAACAAATACAGGCCTGGGTAGCACACCCAGGCCCTTCGATCATGAATTAAAATCGAATGACTATGACATGCAAAGAAAAAAAGAATGGAATTTGATTCCTTAATTTTTCCTTACCAATAGTGGTGTATAGATCTGTGGTGTTGGAGATGCCTAGTGCTTGGGCACGTTCTCTGCAAACTTCAAGGAGTGAGTGGAGTGTTGTTGAAGATTCCTTCGATTTGGATTACTCAGGAGATTTTTGACAATTATGGTGACTTATGAGGCAGCGTGTGCGTATAGTGTGTATGGTTCCTCTGGACTTGTGTCTCTACCTTGTGCGTATGTATGTGATCTCCTTATATACATGGATGGAGGGGACAAGAAGGCAAAAGAGTAAACAGCCATTAAGTTGGTGTTTTAAGGCCATGAATGATGTTTTTTAACTTTGCCAAAGTCACGGAAACTTGTCCCTTTTTGAATTTGAATGAACCTGGACACATTTGGCTCCTTTGAATGCCTTCAATCCCTGCCCTTCGATTGGCCTCAAGTTGCCTCCTTCGACTGGCTCTTTTGAATGGACCTTCTGTTTACCCTTCGAACGGGCCTTTGGTTGCCTCCTTCGAATGGACTTTTGAATGGTCCTTTTGTGTACCCTTCGACTGGGCCTTTGGTTTCCTCCTTCAAGTGGACTTTTTAAGTGTCTTTCATATGTATGCCTTGTGCCCTCTTCGAATGGGCCACCAAGGTGTATCCTTCATTTTGAACCAATATGTGTGCTCTTTTGAAGGGATCACATGCATTCTTTGTTCCCTCTTTGAATGACTCTCCAATGTGTGTCCTTCGACTGGACATTAGGAATGCTCTTTCGAAGGGGCCATATTATGCGCCATAGTGTAGAAACTGTGTTGAGGAGTCTTGGCCTTGTGCATTGAAGGCAAGCACTAAGGAAATCTTTGTCTTATGCATTGAAAAGAAGTCTTTTTCCTTGTGCGCTAAAATAAACATGTAGGAGGCCACTGTTGGTGGATCGAAACAAACTTGCAGGGGACTCTTGCTTTGTGTGCTGAAGGCACGCACAGAGGGAGAATTTGCCTAGTCGAAGCAGGAATCAAGTTGGCTCTAAAGAAATCAAATTCCCAAACAAAGCAAGAATCAAGCTTGCTCCAAAGAAACCAAATGCCCAAACGAAGCAGGAATCAAACTTGCTCCAAAGAAATAAAATGCCCAATCGAAGTAGGAATTAAGCTTTCTCCAAAGAAATCAAATGCCCAATCGAAGCAGGAATTAAGCTTGCATGCATGTAGCCATTGCATTGTGAATCAAGCCATCATGCAAAGCCAATGGTGCAATCGAAGGAGCACTAACAGGAGGCCCTTCCCTTTTGGATCGAAGGAGGCTGTTTCAAAGGAAACACGTGCCCAATCAAAGCTTGTATACAGCAAACAAACAAAAGGCCAAGGCTTCAATCGAAGCTTGGAAATTTGAGGCAAGCTTGGAGGAGGTTAGGCGCTCAATCTAAGCCTGTCAAGATGCCAATCAAAAGACCCTTTGACATGCCAATCGAAAGACTTTGTTTATCTTCAAAAAAAAATATTTTTTCTTTAATCAAGTGTTTGTAATCACCTATTGTCATACCCCAATTTTTGACCTAAGATCCCACTTTTATTTTTGCATTTTTATACAGAAGTCAAGGTCACGAAATACGGTCGGTTTTAACCTCTCACCTTCGAGCATTGACTATGAAGAGCTTATCAAATGTTTTGGACATTTTTAACCTATGTATCACTAACTTCTAATCATATACAAAGGTGTATGTTCGTGTTTTCTTTTGTTTCATGTGTAGAGACAGGTCTGAATCAAGAGCATTAGGTGTCATATCTCAATTAGGGTTTTAAGTCTCCCAAGCCAGAAGCACAATTAATTGTGGATTCTCGAAGATTGATTCATCAAGGCACAACCTATAATCTCAGAGCATGGAGTCTCAAGCATCGTTCAATCTCATTTTGATCAAAGATGTCTTTTGGAATTTCAGAGGATCGCGTGTTTATTTCCATGCCTTGTTCGACAAGTGGTCTTAAGCTTCTCCACAAGTTTCTCAAAACACAATCAAGACTTCATCATCACTGATTTACATATGCATTGATATGTCTGGGAATGCAAGGAAGACTCAAGTTCTCAAGTCAACTCAAAGTACTTTGATAAAAAAGTCAACATCTTCATGTCTGAGTTTAAAAGCTCATAACTTCTTCAATATTCAACATTTTGAGCGATTCTTTGGGAATTAGGCTCCTTGTGACGTCCTATCCAACTTCCCTTTACAAGCCACGATTATTAGGGGTTCATGGTATTACAAGACAATAATCATGACATTAAAATAAGAAATGAAGGGTAAAGGATTCATCAACTCCTCAGTCATTGAACTAGGGTTTTGAATTGGTGAAGTGTGGAATCATTCAAGCTATTTTTCAAGTTAATATTGAAGAATCAATTTCCATTTGATTTTTGGCCAATCTTTGTTCATGTCTACATCCATGTGTATTCATCATATCAAGTTCAATTAAATGTTATCAAGACATGTTCATGAAATTCAATAAGAAGAATAGAGTTTTGTTGAATAAATTAAATTTGTTTTATTTAATGGATTACAAAATTAACAAGGTACATAATTCTGAATTTTTTTTTAACCTATGCTACACTACCCTTAAGTCTCGTGACTTTTCTGTACCACTTCAAGCCCTTTTACAAACACTTTCTTTAATCCTCAAAACCAGTCATTTAAAATGTTCAAAAATAGTATTTTTATGCCCCGCTTGAAGGAAATAAGTCTGTTTCAACAAGCCATTTGTTATTAATAAATGAACTTGCTTCAAATGCTCTCATTCGGAATGGACAGCGGGCCATGCCTCATGCTTTCAATGCAGGAAATCAAGGACGTACTGTTGTGATGCCTGCTAGCGAAGTACCTGTTAAATCGGCCAAAATGGTAAAAACGGGAATTTCGATTGGGAAATATGGGAGACAGAGAATGCATCATATAAATCCAAGCATGAAAATTCATGATGATTTCAAAGTACCTACTGCTAGCAACTTCATAGTTGATATGGGAAAGAGAAAATTCCTCGAGTTACAAGCAACAATAAGAAGACAGGTTGCTACCCTCCAAAAACTATTATGCTATGTTATTTCTGTCCACACAAGTCCAAGAATACTAGTCCAAACTACTGTTGTTTGCTGGTCTAAGATCTTGACTTGTCCCTATCTTTGATGTCCAAATCAACCCTGCTGCAATGATGCCAAAAACCTGTTAAGCTAGTCCATATTGCACAAAAAATTGTTAAACATTCCTACATCCCTAAAGCATAGATCAGAAATGCTCTTAGTGGACTCAATTCCCTCCCAAATTTTAATCTTGAGACTATATAATAGAGAGATTTATCACAATGGAAAAGAGAACATTTTTTTGATAGAAAAATTATAGAGAAACAAGAAAACTCGCCCAGAAAGTTCTACCCAAACTCTCTCATCACAACACAAAAATATAGTAGAAAAATACATACAAGAAAAAAGAGGAAAATATGTTTCTTACCTCCAAAAACTTCATTGCAATATATGCCCAACACCATGTTCTTTCATCACAACACCACTAATACACCATAGTCTTATCAACCAAGGTTATAACCCCATCAACACATACTCAAAATCCCATGTTCTCATTGCTCTGAACAACATAACACCAATAACGCAGACATAAATCTCACTACAAAAAACCAAGAATAAAAGAAAGTGCCGCCACTAGATGTACCTGAACTCCTGGCCTACTTTGTTAAACAGCCTGGGCCATTTTTGGATCAACTTGGAGTCAGCAGAGATACATGCGACAAGATAGTTGAAAGCTTGTATAGAAAACGCAAGTACCAACTTCTACCGCATTCTGTTTCTGAAGAAGACTCTTTTGTACTCTGGAATGGAAACGAACCATTTTAATCAAACAAAAAATTTTAATAAAACAAACAATTTTAATCAAACGAACAATTTTAATAAACTTCTACCGCATCTCGTCCACGCCTATTTTTAGCCAAACGAACCATTTTAATCAAAAAAAAAAATTTTAATAAAAAACAGATATTTCAAAAGGTTCCTGCGGAGTACCGCAGATGCATTGGGTGCTAATACCTTCCCATTGCATAACCAACCCCCGAACTTTAGATCTTTTTTTTCGAAAACGCATTATATTTTCATTACTTTTAAGTATTATTTTACCTTGCATATTTTAGGGTTTTATTTTGCTCTTTTCCCCTTTTCCTTGGAAATAATAAAGCACGATGGTGACTCTTTCTTATTTGTGAGTCAAGTTAATTAATAGCTTGTTCTCTGATTTTCACCGCTACAGAATTGGCGACTCTGCTGGGGAAAGATTGACCTCTTGCCGGTCCATCCTTAAGTGGGTTAAGCCTAATTTGTCATATTTATTTTATTATTATTTGATTGTTTGATTATATGTATATATTGTGGTTATTTGGGTGTTGATGATATTTACAAAGGACAACTCCTATACCCGGACTAAGTTATACTTAGGAATAGGACGGGCGGTATAGTCATGTTAACTTTGAGGGAGTAATCCCGAAGAAGGAGGCATGAAATCCCCCACTCAGTGGAAGCCCCTTTGACTGTAGTATTCATTTACCAATTAATCGGGAAGATGTTATTGCTTTTGACCTGGGAGCCAGAGAAGCTGAGAACCGTAGAACCCTTAACCCATCTTGGCCTCTTAGGTGTAGTGCGGAGACTATAATGGAGTAATCCGGAAGTAGTTGTCACGCGATGCTGCACTCAAACGAGTTTCTCTTGAGAATATTGCTAATTACCAAGTAGTCGGGACGTTGGTAATATCTGAAGAAGGAACGTAGACTCTGGGAACTTTTAGAACCTTGTTTCATAGGTGTGATTAAATCTTTAGTACATACCTTGGGTGGTTCTTACTTTGACTCCATGCTCGTGACGTTGAACCTTTCGACTTTGTTTGTGACCTTGCTTATGGTTGTTTCATAGCCATGCCTTCATGCATCCATGAAACCCTTTTCACTTGTTTTTTAAGGAATTCAGAGGTCTTTCTTTGTAAAACATCATAAGTTTTGTCAAACTCAATGGATCTCGGGTTTTGATAGGGTGAAAAACCCGAATCCACTAAAATGGATGATTGATCTTGATGATAACTTGATCAACACTCTGATCCAATTCAGAATTCATTTTCTATCTTCATACTTTGATGTTTACAATTTAATGTCTTGAGTTCCTTGAAAATCAAATAAAAATTCTACTTTGCATATCACGCATCATTCTACATTTTTTGTTTCACTTTCAAAATTCATTTCCAAGTCTTTTTTTCCTTTGGTCTCACTAGTACAACACTCGCGCTAAGAGAACAGTGAAGAATATCAAGCAAGAAGTTTCTGAACTCCGCAGAGAGGTGACTAATTTGAAATCTAGTATGGAGCACTTAACTGGTTTGGTTGAAATTTTGGTTGTCGCCCAAGTCAATCCTTCTAGGAAGGAAGAAGCGATGGAAAAAGTCTTCAATGAAACTCTGAAATCATTCTTTCATGAGAAGATGATAATTAATGCACCTAGTGACTTTCTTGACAAGGTGAATGTGGGACTGTGTCTAGAAGAAGATGTCCTAAAGGGATGTTTATATGAAGATGGTGGCTTAGCTAGTGGTGTGAAGAAGCTTAATAATAACTTTCCTAAGAAGAGAGTCAGAGGAATAAATAATGATTTCCAGAATCATCATGTTTCTCCTACCATCCCATGTGCTAAATTTACCTTCTACAGCTTCAGTTCATCAACAAAATCAGCAAGTTCCTAATCATAGGAAATCTTGATTTGATCCAATTCCAACAACCTATACAAAGTTATTTCTTGTCCTGATACAGAGGAATTTGGTTTAGACGCGACTTCCACCGAAGGTTCCTGAGAAGATACATTGGTACTACAAAGCTGATTTGACTTGTAACTTTCATCAAGGTGTTCTTGGGCATGACTTGGAGGGTTGCTTTGCTTTGAATATTGAGGTTCAGAAGTTGGTCAGAAATGATATCTTGTCATTTAAGGATATTTGTCTTGAGGTTCAAGTCAAATCTTTGCCAAAGAATAAACATGATTGAAGGATATCTTGGAATTTAAAGAAGAGAGTCTTCTTAGTTTAATTATCATCTTTCTTGCTTGTTCATTTGTAATTTTTCTTATTTATCATTGCATTGTTTGCATGTAAGAACTTGTTTGCATTTGAATGGTTATCTTAATACAATGAGTATATTTGTCTTGAAGAAATTCATTCGTTTCACTCATATTTGTTTTCAAATTTTAAATTTCTTTTTGCATTATGATACCAACTTGTTTCCTATTCTCCTGCCTAGGAAGAGATTGACGGGAGGATGATGATCTGAAAAACACAAAATCTATAGTTTTATGCTTTTTGAGTAAAATCTTGTTGACGATGTACATGCATTGTTTCAAATTCCTAAACACTGGAGATATAAGGAAGATAATCCCTTGCTAACCCCTTTTGAGCCTTGAAGTAGGAGTTTCTTTTCTATACGAAAAAACCCTCAAATTTTAACCTGGGGCAGGGTAGTTTTCAGTTAATCTGATTGAGTGTTCAAAATTCATAAGGAAGATATTTCTGAAGAGAAACTACGAGGGCTATCCTTCATGTATAATGAAGCTGGAAGATGTGAAACCACAATGTTATCCCTCATTCATCAAGAAACGAGGCAGTCACAATCCTCTCAACAAGTAAAGACAAGCTAATGTCACATGTTTTGTTCAAAAATCAAAAATCAAGAAAAAAAGTAAAAGCCTGCTAAGTCGAAAACTTGAAAACGTGCGGCTTAGGCAAAAATTAGGGCATCCCGCTGGACTATCAATTCAAAAGAGTTAGTTCAGGCAAAAGTTAGGGAAAATAAAAATTGCAAAGAAATGAATACAAAGAAAAGTCCTCAGCAAAGAACAAATTGGTGACTACAAACACGAAGACATAAAGGTGGTTGCTACTCTGAAAGCCTCGTCGTTTCCTTAACCGTCACACAATCCTTTTGAGAGATGAACACTCATGTTGAATTAACTGAACATAGGGTTGGAGAACATCATGAAGAATGGGTGGGCACCTATAAATTTTGAGCCTTAAAAATCTTTTTTCTAAAAACCATGAACCAGGCCACGTCACAACCTTCAAAAGTCCTAATTGAAGCAAGGTTATTTTGAAAGCATGCTTAAATGAGATAGTGTTCATGACTCCTATGAATGTTTGCTAAATAGTTATGTTGGTATCATATGCTTTTTCTATACAAAAATAAACGGTGCTCTAACTCACAAAATTTTTGCGATATCTTTTCAAAATCTTCAAGACTTACATAACTGTTACATTAGAATTTTCATTCTCATAATAAAATTTTTCTAACTGCAAAAAATTTGTTTGATATCAAGGAAGCTCACATATAAGCACTAGTGATGAGTTTATTCTTTTAAGTTCTGAAACTCTGTTGAGTAATTGGCGAATCATTTCAAGAAAAATAATATCCAGGGGCATGTCACATGAAGACCTTAAGCACGGACATGTTTCTTCTCCCTGTTAATGCTTTCCCAACTTGTTTACCCTTTTGGGGCAAAATTTGAAGACTTTGTTATGCCAAGTACAGTCAATCAGGGGCAATCACGTCGAGATTCGACGAATCTCTCTAAGAGTTTGAAGACACTAGAGCATTGTGGATGCCAGGTCTTTTGTAAAATGCTCTTGAGACAATTTCTTCTCATAAACCATGTAATTTGGGGCATTTAATAAGTGAAGTTATTCACAAGAATTGTTGTGCGTCACGCAGCTTATCAGCAGTAAACTTGGGGCATCCAAAATTAGTCCCAGGGGCAATCCAGATTTGTCAATATATGTGATATGTTTTGCACACATTACCAGAGGGTGGTGTTCCTAGTATCTCCAACTAAGCAAGACTTTTTTCCAGCTGAAGCGTTGTTCGTGTTATTATCCTTTCAATGGATTGTTGACGATAGAAGACTGGACTTTGGGTTTTCTACCAAAAAATATCTTCCTCTCTAGAGAGATTTAAGCCTTGTAAAAGGACTTTGCTCCAATGATGGTTTTTATTCTATCTCCAGTAATGTTCCCATCTTGTTGAGATTACCTGAGTATTGAGTTATGCTGGGATGTCTTATTATCTTCAGTCTATCTCATCTATCTATGTTGTCAGCATATACATGACATTCATTTATTTGTTCACACTTGCATCATGCACACGCGTTGATATTTGTTGATGTTCTTGATTCGTATACTTTGGTTATCATATTTCCTCTTCTCAAATAGAGTGTCAACTTAAGTAGAAAGTGTCTCCTTTCTAATTCCCCACTGAGTTTATTCCTCATGGAAGAGTTGTTGCTTAGCCTTCCTTTCTGTCTCAGGATAGGATAAGTCTCGGTTGAGTTTATTCCTCATCTGGTAGGGTCTTGTTTGACTATTTCTCTCCAATTTGTTCTTGGATTGAGTTTTGTCTATTACAAATGTTGCTTTGTGAATCTCTCTAAGCTGTGAAACCTTGATGAAGAGTGCATTGATCTTGCGTATGTAAATACTTGGTCTCCTCAGGAAGGATTTATTCATGGTTCCCCATTGAAGATGAACTTTATTCCCTAGTAGTGTTATCATAACATTCTTCTGGAATATCTATGTGACAACAAGCGGCTGACTCTTTATTTGAGCAGTTTGATTATCTTTGAACTTCTTTATGTTATGACAAATGGAGGTCTCTTCATGAGTCGTTTGTCCATCCCCGATGAAATTATTGATTCTCACCTCCAGCAATATCTTCATGATATTTTATTGACACCTTTGAAAAAACAACAGGCGGCGGTCTCTTCATGAGCAACTTGTTTGTTATTGTTATCTTTGAAAAACAGCAAGCGGCAGTCTCTTCATG